TTTTCTTCTGGTATAGAACCAAATTGATATTTAAAATTATTATCATTTTTAATACATATATCATTTAAACGCCATTCTATATGTAATAATGATCGATCAATTGTTTTATATGATGATATTGATATTAAACGTATTTTAGCTTCAAATCTAGCTGAATCACCAGTACATACTGTTATAGATTTAAGTTCTTGTTCAAAACCAATTTGTATTGAATCATTTCGTTTATATTCATCTTGTTCATCAATATGAGTAAATTTTAATAAAAAATCTTTATCAATTGTCATATTTTCATTGAAACAAAATATTCAATAATAATGAAGTTTATTGATAAAAACTAGAGAATAGTAACGAATATCTATCACTATTACACATATATAAGATGAATGACACGAGAATATTGTGTTTAGTTGATCATTGGTCAGCAGCTGTAAAAATGATGTAATCATAAAGAAGAAAAAAGAAAAACGGATATCAACAATGTTCTGAAAAATCATCGGTTAGTAAAACACAAGAGATACTTCCTTCTTTTCCCATTATTGTCCATTTAGACACGTTCTTTCTGTATTCTTATAGTTATTACAGATATAAGAATATAGAAGAAGAAAAAGAAGAATGACCGATATGCCCGTATATTATATATATGGTAACAAAACAAAAGGATAACTATTCTTATGAACTCATCTTGTTGATAGACATTGATGGACAATGTGCGACAGAAGAATATTGATAAGATATTTTTAATCAGTGGGTATATTCAATAGAAACAATAATGTAGTGTAAGAAATAATACTGATACATATTGTATTCAATTGAGCATAGAAATCAAAATCTTATAATAAATATTTGAGTTTATGTAAACAATTGTCATTATTCTTAAAAATAATAAATAAATTGATATCAGCATCATTAGATGCCTAGACAAAAGGATATTATTACGTAACGTTTTCTTTTTTAGACACAACAAGATTATGATTATTGTTTTGTGATATTCTATGAAAATTCCATTGTGTAACTTGTATTTCCTTCTTTTTTTTTTTTTATTTATCATGTTGTTCTTTTTTTTTTATGATGATTGAGTTCAATAATACTTGTATATTTAAATGAACATTATCAAGATGTTATTCTTAATAAAGAAAAGATTGAAGTTCTTTTGATAAATGATAAACATATGTAGTTCATTGAAATTAATTGTTATATTTTTCCGATTGTTTTCATTGTTGTTTTTTTTGCATATCTGTAGACACCATTATCAACTAAATGAACATGATGTATAATTAATTTACGTTTGACGGTTAATGAATCGTAAACCATTGTTTATTCATAGATTGATAATTGCTGTTCATTTTTTTTTTACCTAAGAACACTATGTAATTGATGTCTATAAACGACATATATTAATTGAACTGTATTACTATTGTGACAGACTATTGGAATTGATAATAATATTCGAAGAAAATAAATAAATAAATAAATAAATAAAAATGTTTAGCTGTACCTGTTATGCTAATCATGATGTAATAATAAATATTAATAAATCGTTAGTATGAGAAAAGACAATAATTGAATAATAAATGGAAGAAATAAAAATAAATGAAAACTTGATACTAATTCATTGACTATAGAGAATGGAAAGTTATATGATAAAATGTTTTGGAAAATTCATGGTCGAATCAATTTATTCATTTATTTTTTAATATCGATTACTTGAAAAACTTTCTATAGAACGAATGTATTTATTTTGTTTTAATTTCGACCAAAAGGCGTATATGATTTGTCTTGATTTATTAATTAGCTGTTAGACATAAAATAAGCTCGTTTATATATCTCCATGGAATAATCTCTTCGTGGTAGAATCATTTTCTTGTTATTGTTATTCTTTCTTCATATGTTATAACATTTTATATTCTCCAATATTATATAGATCGTATCCTTGCATATATCAGAATGTCGTAGGATTTTTTTCAGTATCATCGTGAATATTAATAAGAAACGAAAGAAAAGACAAAAAAACGTGTAGAGTACAAGATGACCGTTTGTATTATAATATATCATTAGTCAAGCAACATTAGATTGTTGATAGACATCAGAATAAAAGCGATACAAAAACTTAATACCCCAGAACTCGATGCCTGTTATCGTTTTGCAAACTATTTCTGTGTATCATTAAGAATCTTGAATATATATATATATATTGATAACATATAAAGAATAAATAAATTCTTCTAGAAACTTTTATTTTGGATTTTTTTATTGACCAAAAAAAGACCTATGAAAATAAGTGCAAAAAAAACGAAAAACAAAAAATCATTGTTATTCATTAAAATATTTTATGTTTTGCAAGTAGCCAGTAATTGTTTCACACCTAAATATATAGAAACATTAAAAAAAACAAAGAATTTCTTTCAAAGTATATAGAAAATTTTTTTCTTACCACCAGGTATGACATGTCCAGCCATATAAAGTATCGGAATTTTAGTCCAAGATTTATCCTCTAAATAAAATAAATATAAATAGAAAAACAAAAAAAAAACAAGTTCTTTTTGTAATTGAATTTACGATTATCAATTTTTAATTTAATTTCTAATGTTTCAACAACATTATCTATACTTGTTGCTTCACAAAAATATGAACCTTCATCACATTTAAATACAGAACGTAAATAAAGTATACATTGACCTGTTGTCGGTTCATATTGATGCCATATACGAACACCTCTTGTATCAACAAGTTCACCTTTTGCATACCATGCAATAGATTTAATTCGTTGACAACGAACATAACATTCAAGAAATACATTATCACCTGAACGACATTTATAAGCTTCTGACATACGACTTAAAAAAAGTCGATCATTATTAGAATTCGATTTTATCATTATCTAAGAGAAGATTTATATAAAAAAAAAAAGGAATAATTAAATCCTGGTGATTTACTACTTCTAGTATGTGTGTGCGTATGGTAAGATGAGGAAGCGAAAACAAGTGTGAATGGAATCATTCTCACAACAACAACAATAATAATAATAATAATAATAATAATGACAACAACAAATGGTAGGAAGAAATGCTGCGTACGACGAAGGTCACACAATGACAAAGGTTTTCTTATCTGCAGAAATAATCACTTCTTTCCTATTGTAATCACGATCTTTATAAAATGATTATTAGATTAAAAACTAGCTAACAAAAAAAAAAATGAATAAACCATATACGCCTACATATTATCTATATCATTCAAGCATTCAATGAATAATTAAGTTGAAGTGTGATCATGTCCTTGGAATTGATGTCAATCAGGATTCTTTTTTTTTCTATTCTTTATCTCTATTCTATTCTAGGAAATAGTAGAGTATCACTCTTCTATATTCATTTGTGTATGACATCTCGACTGTTATCGTCTAATGTTAAACGGCAGGTGATTTGTCGCTCGTGGGAATATATTAGATAGATCAATTGACTGTACCCGATATCTACATACGCAAATGCTTTGTTGATAATATGACGAATGACGTATTCCTTCGTCGTTTTTTATCCATAATACAATATTAATGTCTTTATTTTGCTTGCAAAATATACAAATATATTGCTGAAAATATCAATAAACATAAGCAATATTTTCATCAAAATAACATTCATTATCAAAACTAGTATAAGCAAAACAGTGACTTGACAATCGACAACAAGATATATGTATATATATATCAATTGTAAATCATCTTTTAATTCAACTACCAAATACTACAACCAGATGATGTTGAGAATCGGTCGGTTTTGTTATTAGTTTAATTTGCTTGTGTTTATTCTTCCATAATGTTTTGCTATCCAAATCTTGCAGTTTTCAAATAAACATTTAGACTATATTATATCCTGTTAATAATGTATATATAGACTTAACATCAGTGGAACAAAAAAAAAAAAATATTCGAATATTTAATTAAAATTATTACTCTATGTAAGAAGAGAATTTATTTGTTCCGATATAATTACTTTGGCAGAAAAAATATTTTTCCCTATGTACCAAGATAGAGCATTCAATTAAGTTCGAGAAATATTTGCAAAGACAATTTTGCTAATACAAAAAAGTAACTAACTAATTTATAGCAACATACACATTAAATGAAACGTGACTTTTGATTAAATAAATAAGTCAACTGTAAAGAAGATAATATTTGTTCTAAATCTCAACAAAAGTCTATTCGATTATATATTTTATTATGAATTCAATTCTTTCTTTCTTTCTTCCTTCACCAATAAATCATAAAAGAGAATGATACAAATCTAATATCTTATAACGATTTTAAAATTCTCACATAAATCAATATTAATATATGAATATTGTCTATCATCACATTATATATTGAATAAGTTCATTAGACAAAAACTTCATATTAATAATGTCAACTGTTGATAATAGTTATCAACAAGTTCGTTATTTTTAGACAATATTTTATTGTTTTAAAATTCATCTATTATTAGAAATTTACTTATTCATTTCTATAATTCGAAAACGAAATCTTCTCATTTCTTTTTTTTCTTTCTATTAAGAAAGAAATATTAACAAATACTAAAATAGATCGAAAGATTACAAATATTTATCTAAATCAACATACATAGACAAAGACATGTTCTGTAAGATATTTTTTCTGTAATTATAAATCTACCCTTTTACAGACCAGAACAAACAATAAATAAGTAAACATGTATACATTTCCTTTGTCATTGTTAAGTGTAGAAATAGCTGTCAAATACAACATATTTTTTGATTCTTTTCGGTTACTTGTAAAATCTTTAGTAATAGGAAACTAACGAAGAAACAAGTCAACATCGTTCTACCCGGAATTTCCGGAATTTCTCGTATTGTCGGGTGTGTTTCCGTTTTTCTTTTCTAATGAGGATCATATGCAATTTAAAAGCTTACATTTAACCTTGAATAATATGATACTCTATTCGAAAAATATCTTTCTGTTTAAAAAGAAATTTGCTTTTGGAATAAAATGGTATTTCTTTTTTTTTGTCACCAATCTTCACACACACGCATAGGCACGCACAAACAAGTGCACAGAGAAGAAGAAAAAAAAAGAAAACGACATAGATACAGTAAGAGAAAGAAATGAGTACAATTGCAATTGTATGGAAAGAAATAAACGATGAGTGACAAATAACAATAATAATTAAAAAACAAAAAAAAAAGAAAAAAAAAGCGTTTAAGACTATAAGTTAGGATAAAATATCAACTTCAATATCTTCATCGCATTTTGTCAATTCAAGTACTTGATGATGTTGGGCATTAAATAAACCCGAACGATGTTCTTTAGCTGCTTGTCGTTGTTCTTTACGTTGTCGTAATTTTAATGCTTTTTCAATACGTTGATCTAATGGATCACTTTTATTTGATGATAATGATGAATAACCATCACTTTCATCATTCATTGAACCACTATTACCAATTAAATTAAATTTAATTATATTTTTAATTCTTCTATGTTTATCATCATTCATACCAGAAAAATCTAATATAAATTCTGTTTGATGTGGTAATAATTGTGGTCCATCAGGTTGTAATATTCTTATAATTTCTAGTTGTTCACGACGACCAAGTTGTTCATTTATAATTCGTGTTAGATCTTCTGTTGTTGATGTTTGTTCATCACTTGTCATTTTTGACCATAACTTTGTTGGTAATTGTCTTCCATGATTATTTGTACGATTTTTTGCTCGATTTTTAGGTGATGATGGTGCACTACGTTGTGGTGCAGGTAATAGACTAGATGGATTAGGAAATTGTTGAAATAATGAACGTGTATCATCTAATTCGGAAAAGCAATCATTCTCAAAAAAATCTGATAAATCCGATGTACCAATAAAATCAGCTTCAATACCAAGAAATAAATCATCAACAACACCTGTACTACTACAACCATTAATTTCCATATATAAATCATCCGAACAAACAGACATAGATTTTGATGATGTTAATTGATTAACAGATGATTGCACAGTATTTAGAGCAGCTGTTAAATCGGGTTGAGAATTACTTCTTGACATAGATGCAAGCATATCAGAATTAAGAAATTGTTGAATTGATGTTTGACCATTATTATTAAATGCTAATGTTAGAGGTGGTGGAGTTTGTAATAATGGAGGATTTGTTAATGTTGTTGTGGAATATGAATTATTACGTATACGATAAGATGGATAAATTCCATCTTCAGTATTACCTAATGACGATTGCATGATCTTAAACGAAAAAAACAAGAAGATACTAATGACAATTCTTTATTAATAACAATAACAAAAAAGAAATAGAAAAACTAATTTGGTTGTTGATTTTTTTTTTTTTTTGTTATTTTAATCAGTAAATAATGTTCTTTTACACCAAAATCTAGCACGATGATCATCTGAACATGTAACAAAAGCTGCTGCTGTTGGACTATGTACAATACATTTAACAGGAGCATTATGTCCTAAACCAAGTAAACGTTGTCGTTCAGCATTTCGTGAATTCCAACAACATAATGATGTTGCTTTTTCATCAGGATAAAGAATATAATCTTCAGTATGATTAAATACACATGTTGCACGATGTTCTTGTTTAGCTAATGTACCAGCACCAGTATAATGAATTAAACAACGCTACAATAAAGAAAAAAAAAAGAAAAAAAATAATAGAAACAATTAAAATTTTAACTTACAGCTGTTGATAATTCCCATAAACGAACTTGTGAATCTTTTCCACTTGTTAATAAATATTTTGAATTTTTTGTAAACATTACTGAACAAACTTCTTCTCCACCATGTGCACCATCAAATGTATTTATACAACGATTTGTAACACCATCCCAAATTTTAAATGAACCATCTTTTGATGATGTTGCATATTGTCGTCCATTCGATGCCCATTTAACACAAGTTATTGCTTTTGTATGTTGATCTTGTGGTTGAGTTGAAACAAAACATCGACCTGTTTCAACATCATATAAACGTGTTACAGGATGTTGTGTACCAACAACAAGCCAATCACCACTTGGATGAAAATTTAAACAACGTATTTGATCAACTTCACTTATTGAACGAAAAGATTTTTTTGTTGTTGGTTTAGCATATTCAAAAAATTTTATTGTATAATCACGTGAACCAGACGCAAGTATTGGATCATATGGATGAAAATCTAAACAAGTTACTTCATCAGCATGATCATATAATGTACGCATTACAGGATGATTATCTAATGATGATTCAATTGATGATGGAGCATAATCAAGACCAAAGTTATTTTTTATTAACATTCTAAAAAAGAAAAAAATCAAAAAACATTTTTTTGTTTTTCTTTCTTCTTTCATTTACCGATCAACATCAAGAATTTTAATAGATGCATCGGCTGAACCAGTTGCAATAATTGAACCAGTTGCATCAAAAGCAGCTGCACGACAAGGTGCTTTATGAGCAGTAACATAAAATGTTTCATATGAACCAGCATCAGGACTAGTAATAGGTGAATCTGATTGATAATCAAAGTCGAGACCTAAAATTAAGTTTACAAAAAAAACAAAATTGTTTGTAATCGAATGAAGATATTTACCAATATCTTGAACATTATCAGAAACAACAATTGATGCTTTACGTGTTTGTTCTAATTCTTCTTCAGCTTTTAAACCAAGTCTTACAATATGTGTTAATCGATCTGATGGTGGACATGGTGGTGATGTCTTATAAAATAGACAAGAAAAAAAAACAAAGTTCAAAGATTAGAAAAAAAAAATTATTTATTTTTAATTTACTTGAAGAAGATTGGAAAGTGATACAGCTAATTGTTGATGACCATCATAAAATAATTGAGAAATTATAAGACGATATGTTGTTTCACGTAAACGTGTTTCACTACGAATCTATTTTAGTCTTGTATTGATTTAATATTTAAAAACAAAACAAAAAAAAGATATTTTTTTTATACATACGATTTGTGGAATGTTTAATGTACCAGGTGTTGTTACTGAATCCATAACGGATTATTGTTGTCTAACTGAGGAATATGAATAATATAATGACGCAAAGTAAGAGAAGAAAAAAATGATGCCAAGGAGAAGAACGACAGAAAAAAAAACGATCGAAAGAGATAAAAAAAACTCTTATTTTCTTTTTTTTTTCTTTTCTCTTTTGTTGTTGTTTTTGTTTTTGATTTTTCATTGGTTGTTATAAATAACTTATCTTTGCTCGATCCGAGAATAGTTCTATCAATGCAGATGTCGTATACGTTCGTAGTAATATATATCGAAGTTAATGGGAATAGAGAAATAAAGAAACAATATTACAAAAAACAAGATTAGTTATTCTATGATTCTTCTAGTTTATTTAATATAAGAAATAATGACTTCATTACAATAAATGAGAAAAGTACTCAAAAGAACAGAGAAATCAAGAAATAACAATAAACAACTACTTGTCAGAATCTTGTTTTTTCAGTTATACAGTATCAGATATAGACTCTCTCTTTTTTGTTTTGTTTTTATCTTTCATATGAATATCTACAACATCAATCATAGTGCTTGTACAAAAAAAAGAAATGTTTTTCAATTATTTTTAATTAAATTATTTTATTTAAATGTATGAAATAGCAAAGTTATTTGTCATCTTTGACTTAGTCGTGAATATTTTTCCACGTTTTTATTGCATACATCATTATAACAATTGCTTGACCATGATTTCCAATTCGTACAAATTAAATTTATAAATAGAATTTCACTTTTTTATGCTTGTAAAGGCTGTATAATAAATTTTGACCTTCATCATGTAATATTATATTTCTCACATATCGAGACATCTAGATCTATTCTATGTTAGAATTTCGAGTTTGTACTTATTATCGTTACAGACATATAAATGATGTGAAAATCATAATAATTTTTGAATATTTTTGCAATTATCATGGATAAGGAAAATTGTAGTCAAATAATTACCCACGCACTGCAAGTAACGTTTACTTTTCTCTGTATATAAGTCTTCCGTTCTGTAATTTGCTCACGTCATTATGAATGGAAAAAATTATACAATCTCTTTATCTCTGCAAGTTGCAACGTACAGAAATAGCAAAATATACATGAAGAAATTACATGAAAAGACATTGACGAACGTATGAAATGTAATTAAGGAAAGACTAAGAAGTGAATAATTGTGACAACAATTTAGAATCGGAAAATCAAATAGTACAACAATCGAGAATGTTTTTTTTTACAGGAGAAAAATGCGAGTAAATAATGAAAAAAATATCGAGTCGATTGGAGCAAATGATAGATTAAGGTGAAGAGCAAATATATAAATATGAATGAATGATTTATTATTATTATTATTATTATTATTTGTTTAAAACAAATTCGATTTGTAAATCTCCTCTCGAGCAGTATCTTGTATGTAACATTACAAATAAAATGCCAAAAAGATTTCAATTATAGAAGCATATAAGAAAACAATATTGCATGATGACGGTCAAAACTTATTTTATACCCTTTATCTTGATGGCTTTTGTTTTGTTTTGTCTTGTCTTATCATATGATTGATATCTAGTTCAATGAAGTCCTCTGGTGATCTATAGCTATTTCATAGTTTTTATTCTGTCAATTTCAATTCTTTGTCTTACAGTCCGGGAATAATTAAAAAAAACCAACCATTCCCTAAGCATTATTTTAACATCTTGAAAAAAGAAATACGATAGATACATTGTCAATGAACGATAAAGATTGACAATTTGTAGAACAAAGTTTTTGAACTCTTTAATGCTAGTATTGTTTCAGACCATAGACTACTTAATATTTGGTTTTGATTATATCAATTCTAATTTCTGTAATTATTTTTTTATGAATAAGCTATGAGTGAATATTTATCTTCAAAGATCTTCATTACTCTTCTCAAAATTTGTCTATCATGTAATTATAGAGAATATATATATATATGAGTAAATTACAGTTGTTTGATACGATTGAAATTTTGACTATATTTGGCTAATAATGTTTGTTTCTTTCAACCGATTTGGCCAAATTGTCACACCCAATTTCAGTTCATTAGCTCATACTGTCGCTGAATTCTGAACCACACACTATGAAACAATCGTATTTTATATATCTTTCTCGTTTATCTCTCTCTCTCTCTCTCTCTCTCTCGTTCTCAATTCTTTTCGTTTGTCTACAAGTTGGAGATAAGCAGAGGTATTAATACAAAACACCTATTTGTGAAAAACAACTTGATTAGAAAAAATGATCTTTTTCTAAAACTTCGAATTTTATTGATTTTTTGCAAAAATATAATTCTTAGAGTTGTATAACCAATCAAAAAATTTAATTGTCGATCTCTTATCGCTCTTGAGAAATTCACATTATATGATATTTGAAATATTTCAAGCAGTAGTAAGCCAGCATGGATTGCATCTTATACCATTGAATTCATTTCATTCCGGAAATTTATTCTATTTTTATTTCAAACATTAATTGATAACCAATTTTTCCATTAAAATAACGTTCGTAAGGCATATCTTGGGCTAATATATAGTAAAACGTTAGGAAACGTTTACTGTGTAATGTAACCATAGAATATAATAAAAAAAAATCTTACTTGGAAAATGTTTAGATTTACTTTTAATTTTGTGTGTCAATGGTACTCTAAAAAAATTGCAATTCATTTATATCTATATTTAATTAGTTCCAATTTTTATTATCAAATTATATCATTTTATATAGTAAACTTATGTATGTACTCATGTGATTCCACACTTTGAAATCCGAATCAAAAATACAAGGTTAAATTTAGTAGAAGTACTGTTATATTTCATGACTCTACTAAACTAACCATTTTATGCATGGTCTTCAATACTGTCTTTTTTTCTTCGTTTTTTTTTCTCTCATTCTCTTTGATGTTCATTCATTCATTCATTCATACTATTCCTTGTATTCATATAAGATGCATCTTACCTATCTGCCGACCTCCTTGTCCGTATTCACACGTGTAGTTATAACAAAATAAACGAGAGACTCTGATTTGAACAGAGACTCATGCGTACACATATACAAATTATTCTCAAATCATTATATATCTTCTATTGATTAGATCTCAT